CTGGTTCACGCCTTTTATGTAAAATACCTGGGTACCTGTAGGAATCAATCAATTTAGGCTCAATTAAAACTCCCAAGGATTGGCATTGGCAGCAACTGCTTGCCATTCCCCCGGCCTGTGTCTGCCTGTATTTGGGGTTGTGGGTTGAACCCATGCGGTATCATTTCTGCCAACTTGGATCAACTTAAATTAATGACCATGATAAGTATGTTGTTCGCAAGTGTCATAACATCTGGCCAGCAGCCTCTGGGCAGCCCTTATAGTGTTTCATTAAAATGCAAAAAAATTAACATGTAGGCAAAGGTGGAATTCTCAGTAATGCCACTAACTAAAATAAAGCTAAGAAAAGGGAGAGGGTGTGAGGCTGGTGGTGGCATCTATATTCCAGATGGGGTGACTTGTGAAGGCCTATCTGTAGAGGTGACATTGGACAGAAACAGAATGAAGTTAGGGGCTAAGCCATGCACAGTTGTAATGGAAGAGGCTCCCAGGCAGGCAAAGATAAAAGCAAGTGCAGAAGGCCTGGGGTGGAAAAGGGCTCAGCCTGTTTCAGAAACAGCCAAGAAACCAGTGTGGCTAAATGGAGCGTAGGAGGAAAGTCTTGGAAATGAGGTTGGGAATTAGTGACCAGATATAGGGCCCGTAGATCCTAGTAGACGGTTTGGGATCTTTGGAAGGGAGGAAACCACTAGTTGGTTTTGAGTGGAGAAGTGCATGAGCTGACTGTAGCACTGTGGGCCCGGTACAGTGAATGGCCAGTGGGGTGGAAGCAGGGAGCTGTCTAGGGGAAAGATGGTGATGGAGAGGATGGAGCAATTGCCATGGAAGGGGCAAGAAACAATTCGTTTTTCACCAAGTGCTGGCTGAGCCATTGTGTGCTGGAAAATGAAACACCAGGGGAAAAGGGGCCTCAGGATGACTCTAAGTGTGTTGCCCAGAGCAACGGAGAATGAGGTTGTTATTTGCTGAGATAGGGCTGACCTCAGGGGCACAGGTTTTGTGATGAGTGCTGGGAGATGGTCATTGTATATCCAATGGAAGGTGCTAAGACATTGAACATGCACATCCAGGCTTCAGAGAAGTCTGCGCTGGAGAAAAACGTTTGGACGTTGTTAGTGTAGACAGATGGCATCTGAAGCTTTGCTATTGACTTTCATCTCCTGAGGAGTGAGAATAGATAGAGATGGGAAGAGGCCTCGGGACTGAGATCTGGGGTTTGTGACATGTAGAGGTCAGCAAGAGAGGAAGGAAGGAATCAGAAAAGGAGACTAAGAAAGGGCAGCCTGCAGGGCAATGGGATAACAGAGAGGGCGGGCGGGATCTGCAGTGCTGGGTGGAAGAGGTGCTTCAAGAAGGAGGGAGTGGCCTGGTGTGGTGGCACATGCTTGTAGTCTCAGGGTTCTGGAAGCTGAGAAGGAGGATTGTGAGTTCAAAGCCAGCCTCAGCAATTTATCGAGGCGCTAAGCAATTCAGTAAGATCCCGTCTCTAAATAAAATACAAAATAGGACTGGGGATGTGGCTCAGTGGTCGAGGACCCTGAGTTCAATCCCTAGTGATCCACTCCATTCAGTTCTGCTGATGGGTCAAGCAAGGCGAGCCTGATTATGGACCAATGGACTTAGTAACAAGGAGAACACTGGTGTCCTGGACTAGAGCATGGGTCGTGCCAAGGAGAGAGGAAAGCTTAAGAATGGGAGAAGGGGAACTGGAATAGCTCTGTTGAGACATTGGACAGGAGCTGTTGGAGATGCGAAGTCCAGAGGAATTTCCTAAAAATGGGAAGCCTTCTGCCTGCTTGCACGCTAAGTCAGAGTTATTCAGAGTGGGCAGATTGCTGATGCAGGGAAGAGGGGTTGAATGCAGGAGTCTAATCCTGGGGGAGGACCTAGTGTTCAGAAGGAAGATTTGTCTTAAGATAAGAGCAGGGACAATTCTTCCATGTCTGAGGATGGAAGGCAGGGGGCATGGGCAGAGCTGTGAGGGGTGTGTGCGTGTGCGTGTGCGTGTGTGTGTGTGTGTGTGTGTGTGTGTGTCTGTCTGTCTGTCTGTGGAACATCTTTTCTGGTTTTTTCCTCAGGGAATTCATGTGCCTGGAAGAACGCACTCCTACATTACAAATGGAAGCGTAAGTGAGCCTTTATTAGGCTTTTTGGCCTGACAGCTGGACATCTTCCTGTCCCAAAGCAGGGCCACTGTATATAGCAAAGATTTGGAATCCAGGCACTTCCCTGACTGGGGCATCATCATTTCTATCAGTAAAGTCTGAGGGATAGGATGTCCACACAGTCATTGTGGTTTGAATTTTTCCACATAAGGTAAAAATAATTTGTGAAATGCAATACAAGGAGAAAACACAAGATACTTAAATTAAGCTTATAATGCTTTTTTCCCCCTTGTTCTCTTTTATTCTACAGGTAATGAGCTCTACATTATGTTGATATGGCTACCCCCCAAAGTATCCAAAATGACAGTGGATACATTGACAATCAACATTTCTGCAATCAACTGTGCCAAATCTTGAATAAGTTCTCTCTTTGGTATCTTTTGCAGGTTGTTTATATTTTGTATAGGAGTGATTTTTTTTAAAGCATTCAACCTGCAAATGGGCTTTATGGCTGCCCTACTCCTCTCTCCTTTTCCTCCTTCTAAAACACTCCAGATAGCTACTTCCTTCTCTGCCCCAATTTTGTATGGCTCTGATGGCCTCTCCTTTGTGCCCCTAACCCAGGTGCTAAATCCTGTCTGTTTCCTTAAAATCTCTTTCTCTCTCTCTCTTTTGTGATGTCATTGGTCACTTCAAAAAGAATGTCCTTATCTTTTTTTTTCTGTCTGTGAAAGCAAGCCCTGCTACTTTCTTTCAGTCTTTCTCTGTACCTCTTGAAGTCAACAGGTGATATGCTAATAAAATCACAAAAGCCCAGGATATCTTGACCAAAAAGACTGAGAAAGTGAGGGGTGCTTATGACCATATGACTCAGCTACACCACTCCTTGGTATTTATCTTGAAGAATTAAAGTCATCACACTGTGGTATGCATACCCATGTTTACAGCAGCACAATTCACAATAGCCAAACTGTGGAACCAGATTAGGTGTCCATCAATGGATGAATGGATAAAGAAAATGTGTTATATAGACATAATGGAGTTTTATTCAGTCATAAAGAAAAACAACATTGTGTCATTTTTAGGAAAATGGATGGAACTTGAGAACATTGTGTTAAGCAGAAATAAGCCAAACTCAGAAGGTCAGGGGCCATATATTTCCTCTCATATGTGGGTAGCAAGAGAGGGAAAAGGAAAAAAAAGGTGGTGATGCTGGGGGGTATATTGTGAAAATTAAAGGGAGATTAGTAGAGGAAAGAGACCCAGGAAAAGGAAGAGGAGAGAGAAGGGGAAATTGTTGGGGAGTGATATTGGTCATATTATATTGTTACATTGTGTGCACGTACAAATATGTAACAACAAATCCCATCATTATGTACAACTAAATGCACCAATACAAAATGTGGAAATTAAAAAAAAATAATCGGTATTGCTACCTGCAATGGCAGTGACACACACATATAATCTCAGGGCTCCAGAGGCTGAGGTTGGAGGATCACAAGTTCAAGGTCAGCCTGGGAAATTTAGTGAGTCCCTTTATTAGAATAAAATACAAAAAGGGATGGGGATATAGCTCAGTGGTAAAGTTCCCTGGGGTTCAATCCTCAGTGCTGCAAAAATAAAATAATAATGATTAAAAACAAAGTAATAATACTTGCCACTGTTTATTTAAGCTTGTTTGGCCAGGTGAGCCCTGAGAGCTTTGTGGAGGTAATCTAGCAAATCCTCATAACCCTGGGAGCTGGTCAGTACTTTTATTTTTCTGCAGAGACCTCTAAACCTGAGATGTTAAGTAACTTGCTGGAGTTCAGAGTTAATGGATTGGGACTTATCGAAGTTCTGTGGGTTCATTTTTCTCTGCTTTTGCGAAGCCCAGGGCTCAGGCAGCCAGATCCAATTGTACTGAGGGCAAACTCTCCTCTTCGAATGTGCCCTCCTTTATTTAGACACCAATACCCTTGCTGTTCTGGGTTCTTCCTATTCAGCAAAATGAATGAGAAAAAGTAGGATCCCTACTTTTTAAATTTTTACTCAAGTTTAATATTCTTTTAGAAATAAAAGTGTTTGTTTCCCTACTTTTATTTCTCAAGCCAAAAGAATTAAAAGAATTATAATTTATTTCCCAAGCCAATTATTATTATTATTAATTATTCTTCCCTATTTGGAAGTCCAGAAATAGGTTGAACTTTAATTAAAAGCCGCATGATTTGAGCTGGGGATGTGGCTCAGCGGTGGAGCATTTGCCTAGCAATCGTGAGGCCCTTTGTTCAACTCCCAGTACTACAAAAAGCAAAACAAAAGTTTCATGATTCAATATTGGAATGTGGATCAGACAATAATGAAGCAACCTAATGAACACCCTGAGGGGAACCACCCTACTCCATTGGTTGGTTGAGCCAAATCCTCAGCTAACGAAGTCAGTTCCAGAGATTCCTTCCATCCATCTTGTTCTCAATCAGTGCCTTTCAATATTTGCACAAAATTTGCCCACATCTAAAGAGCCGCACACTCTCACACACTTTATTTCCACATGCTGTTCCCTCAGCCTCACTTACCAACCCCTTCTTTGCCTGGGAAGTTCCTTACCCCTCAAGTCTCAGGTCAGTGTCACCATCCCTTATAATGCAAAGTGTGCTCATTTGTTCACATCTCTCCCCTTCATTTCAATGTTAAATCATTGCAGGCAGAGACCTAGTCTCATCACCTTTGGAATAACTCTAGACCTGAGCTCCCATGTTGTGCCTAATATGCATCTAATAAAGGTTTTGCAGTAAACTACTTTTGTATCTATGCATCAAAAGCTAAAAGGTCCTCATGCCCTTTGACCTAGCAATCCTGATGGCAAGGAACTTATTTAATGGAAATAATTGAACAGGAGAAAGAAAATAACACAGATGAAAATGATGTAAAACATATATTTGCTGCATATTGGAAAGGAGTGAAATGTTTATCAACAGAGTAATGGTGAGTTAATGATGGCAGATGATCCTGAAGGAACATGACTCATTCTCTCATTTGTCAAACACATATACAGACAGCCAAGGAGAGACCAGGCACACAGCAATGAATCAGTACGTCTGCCTCAATGAGCATGCAATCTGCTAGAGTCTTCTAAAAGGACTGTTATAAAACTACACAGATACAGAGCTATTGGGGATCTAATATTGTAGAAAGCAGGTTACATAACTGTGCTTTATGATTGCAACTCTAAACAGATGAGAATGTGAACGAGGTCTGATGGGCAAACCAGGAATGAAAAGACTCGTGTGGTTAGAGCACAGATGATGTTTTCTTTAGCATTATTACTTTAAATTTTTAGACCGTCTCAAATGTTTACTGAAAGAAGAAAACTGCTCTCATGGCTTGGCTCTCCAGGTTGGCCGTGGCAAGAGTGAAGGAGATTGACTTGGGCAGGAGCTTGTGGCAAAGGGATTAGGAGGCTTGGGTCAGGAGGCTGTCCACCTTCAGATCTAGCTGTTTATTGAGGGCTGCAGAAGAAATCAGCCTCCTCTCTGTTGGGGCTATGTCCTACTTGGGCATGATGCAACCTCCTCATTGCCAGGTGTGCCAGGGTACACCTGAAGTCTGGGAAACAGGAGAGATGATGGGGGCTTGCAAGAGTTGGTGGCTGTTCCTCATGATAGAGAGAATGCTCCTTATACAAAAGATACCATCAGCCCCCTTCTATAGTTGCAGGAACTGAATTTCAGTTGGCCCCAGGTTACCAAGTTGGCAAATGACAGAGCTGGGATTGGAATTCATGCCTTCACTTTGGGGCAAGGTTCTTTTTGTTTCTCCCCATGGGCCTGGGAGCAAGTGGAGGGGGATGTGTGAGGTCTTATTGCAGACACAGGGCTGGATATGGCTGACATAGGAGATGACTGCCAGGGTGGATGGGGTCCTTTGGAAAGGTAAGTAGCGGGGAGTCTGTCGGTTGAACTGCATGGTGGAGGGTCTGAGGTCAGGCATTGGAGTTTGGACTTGATGCAGTGGGCAGTGGAGAGCCCTTGTAGGTTTGAGGACATGATCAAAGGAAGTTTAATGAAGAGGTGTGTGCTGGTTGGTGTGACAAGGAGGAGCTAGCTCAGGTACAGGGGAAGTTTTGTGGCTCTTGCTCTGTCTGATCAGAGCAGTAGGGACTCCTCTAACTTGTTGGAAACATCTAACCTCAACCTCTAACCATGGATCAAGGTTATCCCTTTCTTGTGGATGCCACCATCTGGTCCCCACCTGATACAAACTTGGCCAATCAGAAGACCTCTCTGGGATATTTTGACCTGGGGACCAGAGAGGAATGGATCCTATACCCTTTCTGGTGATAAATCTGTGTTACGTGAGCTTTGGAGATCTATCACTGCTAAAAGTCTTGAGAGTCAGAGAGAGCAAATTCTAGCTAGATTCAAGTCCTGTTTTCCACTCACCCTGAGGGCTCAGTCGCCCCCTGTCAGTGCCACAATGAGAACAACACTCACAGATCTCTTTTCAACCAAGTTAGTCTGGATTGCAATTTTTCCATTTGTAAGCAAAAAACATCCTGGCATTCAAATTTTGAGCACATTTCTTGAATACACTGTAGGCTGGTTTTGTTAGTATTGGGTCCGAATTTTCTTTTGCATGTATGAAACAACAACAACAACAACAACAAAAATCTGTTCTCATTACTGAGTGTCCGATTCAGGAACTCTGGGTTCTCTGCGGAGAGAAGGCTTTGTGGATCCCTTCAGAGAAGGAGGGACGCATCCCCATCACTTGTGTAGTGAGTAAAACTGCTGCTCAGAATGCTCCCCTGCCTACTTCTTTGCGATTCGGATGGGGAGAAACTGTCGTGGACCGAACGACCACAGAGGACAGCCAGGTACTTCCTGTACAGGTAGCAGAGGTATCTTCTGAACTTCTCCCCAGCGAATGCATAGATGAGGGGATTGAGGCAACAGTGGCTAAACGCCACCGTCTCAGTCACGTTGAGGGCCAACTTCAGATTCCTCTTCATGTTGCAGCTGGGAAAGAAGTCATAGAGTTTGAGAGTCTCTAGGAAAATCATAATGTTGTAGGGTGTCCAGAAGAGGAAAAACACGATGACCACCAGTAAGATGAGCTTGATGGCTTTAGCTTTCTTTTGGTTCTTGCAGGAAAACAGGGTCTGGAGGATTCTGAAGTAGCAGAAGCTCATGATGAGCAGGGGCAGCAGGAAGCCAAGAAAGTTCACTTCCACGTTGCGGAGCACTGGCCAGATTTCCTGGAGGACCTCGGGGTAGTCACCCAGGCACTCGTTTTCTTTTTGCTTTGTGAACATGAACTGGGGTGCTGCAACGAGGATGGCCGCCGCCCAGACGCCCAGGCTGATGGTGACGCCGTGTTGCACAGTCCGGTTGTTCATGGAGTTGGCGGCCAGAACAATGGCCAGGTACCTGTCGATGCTGATCACGGTGATAAAAAATATGCCTCCGAAGAAGCCGATGAAGAAGAGGGCGGTGGTGAGTTTGCACACGGCGTTGTGGAAGCCTTGTTCGCTGACCACATAGTGAGTCCAAAAGGGCAAAGTGGCTACGAAGAGCAGATCGCTCAAGGCCAGGTTCAGCAGGTAGATGTCGGTGATGCTCTTGCGCTTCCGGCTGTTGTTGAGGGCCATCACCACCAGCAGATTGCCCACCAGGCCAAAGGCAAAGACAACAGAATAGAATATGGACAGGAACACGGTCCCAAAGTCCACGATGTCCCCCACGTAACAGGCTTCAGCAGATGCGTCATACTCAAATTCCTCAGTTGATTTAGGGAAGGAGGTGGGCATGGTGAGGACCTGGATCAGAAGGGAAAACAAAGCGGCAGGGTTAGTCCTCACAGGAACAAATCTGGAATTCTGACTGGTCCATGGTGGAGGCGGGAAGGAAGAAACAAATACCAGTCGCTTCCTGCCTTCACACCCGCCATCTTGTTCATCTCCACCACAATCTGGTGGTGGAAGTTGCAACAGAAACCTTTGGCAAGGGAGGCAGCCAGGCCCCCCGACAAGGTCAAAGAGAGGTCCCTAAGAGGACTTGCTCAGCAAGCATTTGGATCTAGGTCTTTGGGGACTTGGGACAGATCTCTTTCATCAATTTTCAAAAGTTTCTCCAAAAGGTGTTGAGTTTGACTAGTGTATAGATAGGGGAAGGAGGATCAAGGACAGAGGTGAAGGGCAGGATAAGGAGAGGTGACAGGGGAAGCTTCTTTTAGCCTAACCTTTCCCCAAGCTATTTTCTATGCTCTTTTTTTATTTCCACCTTCACCAACTTCTGTCCTCTCATTTTTTCTCCATGAAGCTAAGCCTGGAGACAGAGGTCTCAGAGACTCCCCTGTTTGGTTTTGGAGAGCCCTTTCTCCTCCTCTTCCTCTTGGAACTAACAAGTCCTTCTTGTCCTCAGCAGGGAATAGGCAGAGTCGTGCTCTCTCATGAATCATCTGTTTCGTGTTGCCCAGGACTTTCATCATTCCCACCTGTGGGAAACCCCTCAAACCCAAGCAAACTGGGACTAATGGCCATCCTCCAGCCTCAGCTGAAGAGGAGCACTGTCATGATCCAGGGTTCTGTGGTCACAGAAGGATTGACAGGTGCAAGACCAGATGAGCCCACGGTTGGACCCGAGAGACTACTTCTCCTAGTTATTACCAGCCCTGGCCTTCCCCCACTAACCTTATCTCCTGGTTTCTTTTGAGCAAAAATTGAAAAAGAAGACATTTCTGCACAGGTTGGGCAATCAAGCTTGCCCTCTTCCCACTCTTTTCCCATCCAGTACTTGCTGGACATTTACTCCAGAGGCAACAGACAGGCCACCCTCTCCCTTTGCTCCTCTGGCACCTCCTCTTCCTTGTGAGACCACAGGCAGGCTCAGAAACCCCGAGTGTCTCCAAGCAGGCCTCCTGGTTGTCAGCACCTCCTTCTTCATCAAAACTGAAAGCAGAGCTCATGGTTCTCTAACCAAGGGAGTTTCCACACCCTACTGCATCCTGGCCAGGATGGTTTCACCCAGGCGGTATCTCCCACAGCCCACCCAGCTGAGGTATTGCTTCTCCCTGCCCTGCCTCCGGCATGTCCTGCATCTCACCCAGTCTCTTCTGCCATGAAATAGGCCGAGGCTGCCAGTCCTGGACCTTCTCAGTCTGTGATGGAGTGTTTGACCCTAGGAAAAATGTGTGAGTTCCCTGCTTCAGGCTGCAAGGCCCTTTTCTTGGAACAGGGGTCTGGCTGTGACCATTTAAGTTAATAAGAATTAATTGCTGACCTGATCCTGTTTTGAGTTCTACAAGAGCAAGCTTCATCTGTCTAACGCTGATGATGGGGAAACAGGAATTGGTACTTAGTGTGTGGGATACTGCTGTGTAAGAGAGGAAATAGTCAAGTCCTTGAAGGTTGTAAGGTAGGGACCCTAGGCTAGACAGTCTCTCTCCCCTTCTGCCCAGTGAAAAGAGATGGCAAAGCTGACTTCAAAAGGTTAAAACCAATAAAAATTGTTCTGCATTTCTTTGTGCCTGTGATCTGTCCATCAGCCCCCAAACTTCTATGGACTTGAGTTCTCTGAGGTTGAACCCCAGGTCTGCCCTTTCTTTCTTTCTTTTTTTTTTCCTTTTAACCATACGATTTATTTAAATTTTTAAAAATTTATTTTAAAATTTAAATAAATTATTTATTTATTTTTAAAAATTTATTTAAATTTTTTAGTCATACATGACAGCAGAATGTATTTTGACATATAATACATACATGGAATGTACATACATCGATCATAATGTCTATTCTATTCTGCTCAGGTCTGCCCTTTCTGGCTAACTGATGGGTGAGTTTGGAATCTCTGGGCCTGATGTTCCTCATCTGCAAGGTTGAGATGCAGTCTCACACCTGCCCACAGAGCTGTTCTAAAGAGAGAAACTGTTCTAAGTGTGTCGCATACAGCAGGAACTTAGTAAATGCTACTTCCTTCCTGCATTAGGTGAGGCTGCAGAGGTTCTTTGAGCGTTTGGACTCATCCAGGTTGCCTGTAGACAATCCCACTCAGGGCATTGTGGGAATTTGGTATTTAAAGGTTCTAAAATTTCCCCCTGAAATAATAATCAAAAAATGGTTTCTTTTTAGATTGCTATTTATTTATTTAATTGGTAGATGGACACAATACCTTTATTTTATTTTTTTAAATGTGGTCCTGAGGACCGAACCCAGTGCCTCACACACGCAAGTGTTCTACCACCGAGCCACAACCCCAGCCCTTTTTAAAAATTATTTTAAAGGGGGTGGGAGTAAGCCAGTTTTTGCTAAGCTTTTACTAAACAGCTAGGCTTATTGCCAGACATTCCATGTGCATTGTTATCCATTGAATCCTCTCTGCAATTCTGAAAGTCCTGTGTTTAGTTCACTGCACTGGATGGCTCCAGGGCTATTTGAAGACTGGGGCAGGACCCTGCGTGGAGAAGGCAGGGACAGTTAAAACTAATTTCCACTAGCTAAGGGGTAAGGAGTCCCAATCCAGCATCCTACCTTGCTGTGTGACTGGGCTGCCACACACACAAGAACACCTTCTCTAATTTGTTCCAAGACTCCAAATAAGCTGGAGGAGGTCCTGATTGGAGGGTCCCAACATCGATGCAAATATATAAATTGCCCGGGGCTCAACATGCCTGAGCTCCTGGAGGGATTAATTAGGCCCCACCTCAGCCACAAAGGGGCCTGTTGTCTCAATGTGAAATTCACACAAAGTCTTGAGATAAAGACCGAATTGGGAAGTGGGTCAATACATCCCTGCAGATGGGACACAATTTCAGGAGATGCTGTGGAAGGGATGACCTTGCCTGACTGGTGAACATTTTACTTACTGAGATCCAAATGGCAGATCTGGCTCAGGACAATCCCTGCCATCCTGAGGATCTGCCCAGCAAGGCCACAGAAACCCTCAGCCACCTTTATCCTGGCTCCTTGATAGATCAGATTCAGGCCCAGCTCCTACAGGAGTTCCTCTGAGCACCGGCACAGTGCTATGCATATAGTAGATGCATGCTAGGCGTACTGTGATCCCTGCTGGGAGCCATGCTACTGAGGGAGGAGCAGGAAGTGTGTTTCTTTTGATAGCCCCTATGTGATTCCAAGGGACTGGAGACCTTAGTGCTCTTCACGTCCACAAGAGGCACAGCAAGGTCAAGGCCCCGGCTCGTCGCACAACTAGAAGTGGGGGGAGTGGGACTGAAGCCCAGGCCACACTCTTCCCATCCCTTAATGCCCACCCCACCCCCACTCAAGATGAAGGATGGCCAGGGAAAAAAGATGGGGACACAGTGACTATCAAACAAAGTGGAGTCCTTGGAGGTAAAAAGTCAGCAGGGCCACTGTCTCAGCTTCTTCCCCTCTAAAGAGCAACGTTGGGGTTTGTGGAGAGCCAAAGAATGCAATGACACCCAATTGCTTGTTGGGGTTTATCCAGAGATATGCTCACACACAAGCTCAAGGAAGTGTGCACTCAGACCCTCACCACAGTGAGCCTTAAATAGACATGAAGAGGAACCACTTCAGTACCCATAGGTAGGGACAGACCACACAAAACCACGATAAATCCAAAGAACAGAACATCAAGCAATAGCTTAAAAAAAAAAGCAAAGCCAGGCAGATCGGCAGATCTATGTTCTGTCATGGAACCATCTCTAAGATACACTGGTAAATGAGGTACCAGGCACGCACTGTGCTGTTCTCTGTGGAAATAATGCTGTGTGTATGTTTTGTGTGAGGTCTGAATACCTCTGGAGGGTGGACCAGTGGTGGTAACCGTAGTTCCTGCTGGAGGGCATGTATGGAGAGTAGAAGATGATGGGGGGTGGTGGGGGGATTTTAATTTTTACTGTAAACTTTTGGAATTTTTTTTTGGTACTGGGGATTGAACCCAGGGCCTTGCACACGCTAGGCAAGCACCTTACTTCTAAGCTAACAACCCCAGCCCCCAAATCTCAGGATTACTTTATCATGTACACACATTACCTATTTTGGAAGTGATTTTAAATGTTTCTTTTGGAATTTTCAAGATAAAAATAAACAAAAATATGAAGTATAGGAAAAATTAAAGTAAGTAACCTGGTACAAATACCAGGCACATGGTATGTTTGATAAATGGTATTCGACATATAAAAGGATTATCTATACTTTATGGGCAAGTAGGTGTACTCAGAGAGGGTGAATAACTTGCTTAAGGCCACACAGCTTGTTCATGGCAGGCTTACAGTTTGGGCCCAAATGTGTGTGCCTTCAGCATTTTTTTTTTAACTTTGCATTATACCCCTTCCCATATCCCTCCCTCAAGACTGGGAGATCCCAAAAGAAGAATCACATTTTTTTTTTTTTTTAGCTCTGTAGATCAGGGTTTAGCAAAGAGAGAGGCCTGATATAGAACAAATGCTGTATAAATGTTTATGGGAGGATATATAGTTTATCTTAGACTTTCATTCCTAACGACCTTGGTGAAGGTGCCCCCCCCCCCACTGTTTTGACAAGGTCACAGTGAGGATAAGTGCTGGCAAAGCCACACAGATGGGCTTTGAAACTCATGAAACCATGAGACCCTTTTTGATGTCATTGGGACTTTTTATTTTCATGCTCCTATTCCTGACAGGAAGCATGAGTATGCTTATTGCTAAACCAAATTAAATTTCAGATGGCTAGAACATAACAGGTAGTTCATGCCTTGAAGGCTGTTCTACTACTTTTCAGCATATCGAGGACAAAATAGAAGGCTGTTCTACTATCTCAGTACATTGAGGACAAAACTGATAATAAAAATATAAGATATA